TTAGATTTCGCTCATCCACTCATCAATGTACTTAATTTATTCAATCAACGTTGGGAGTGCAGCCTCCTCCTGGAGTGGATGAGGGTTGAGAACCAAGATCTCACTCTGACGTCCACTGGCCTCAGGGCTCACAGATGTCCTGAGAAGAGTTTCTGCGTAAACCTAGGCTTTTGCCTGAAGGAAGCTATGCTGAGGCCCAATCAGAGCTGCCCAGCCCTTTCCTCCCTCTAGCTGTTTTGGAAGAACTCTGGGAAATCTGAATCTAGACTCTAGTTCAGCGCCTGAACTGGAGGAGCTCTGGCCTCCAGGAGCCCTGGATGAGCTCTCCCAAGGGACAACCTTCCGCCTTTTATTCTGCCTACAGGCCACCATCACCTCCTCAGCACTCAGCCTTCGCCTGCCAGAGCATGGGTATATATCTTTTGGGTTGTGGCTTTGTCGTAATATTTCTCTTTCAATTTCTGCAGTTGCACTTCCAGTACAGTGGGAGGCCTATCTGAAAGCACTTGAGCCAGGATTTTTGAACTTTCAACTGACAGCTAGCGCCTTGCCACTCCATGGGGACAGGCTTCTTCTTACGATGCCATAGAATTTGGGGATCAAAACCTGTGCTCCAATCCAGGTCCTCCCTCCCTGCTACCACTCCTTTTTTTTTTTGTTTTATAAAGATTTATTTATTTATTTATTTATTTATTTATTTATTTATTTAATGTATATGAGCACACCTCTTTTCAGACACACCAGAAGAGGGCCATTACAGATGGTTGTGAACCACCATGTGGTTGCTGGGAATTAAACTTAGGACCTCTGGAAGAGCACTCAGTGATCTTAACTGGTGAGCCATCATCTCACCAGCTTGCTACCAATCCTTAATATGCCAATTAATAATGGAAATCACAAAAGGAGAGTTATTTAATGTAGCCACATTGAGGGAAGATGGACAAAGTGATCTAGTAAAACCCTCAAGTCTGTTTCAGGAGTGAGATTAAAATTCAAATAGAAGGCCAAATACATGCATATTTAAGTGTGGCTGTGCCTCCCCGCTCCCTATTGAACCATCTTGGTCTAGGCTTCTCAGTCTCAATGTGTAAGGTAATCTGATAAGTTCTTAGATAAATTGTCCCTCTGGTTTTGGCCTTTCCCTTCTCTCAGCATGAGTTTCGGGGGGGGAGTTATGGGGGAATTGCCATTTCTTTGGGGTTCATTGTCTTTAGAATACCTACCTTCATTTCTGCTGGGCTTATTAAATATCAAACCACTGGAGTGCCAATTGATACGGTCTGAAGCTATACTACACTCAGTAGTATAACCCTTTCAAGGGTTCTACTAATATTGCATGGGTATGCTCACTGGGCAAGAACAGCTCTGAGCCATGGACCCTGAATATCTTTAGGCTTTTCTATCAAGGGCCCTCCATAATTCTAAGATCCCAGCTTGACTGTGTGTAACACAGAGCTGGACAAGGTAGCTTTATGGAAAATTCAGAGTACATACAGGATTGACACTCAGGAGTCAAGGGGAAGTAAGGCCTTAACTAAACTCTGAAATTTTCCTTAGCATGACATTTCTAACATATAAAACGGGGGTGGAATACAAATTGTAGAGATTGTGACTGGACAGTAATCAGGAGGAAAATGGGAGGTGGAAAAAGATGTAGTGCATTGCTTAAGGGATCCTGAAAACTTATTTTTTTCTATCATAGCCTTTCCTCTTTTTGATTTTGGTCTAGAAGTAGAACTACGATTTTCCTCCAAAGGGTATATTTCATGAGTGTGTATTTTCAGAAAAAAGACACCCACTGTCCATTATAAGTGTTAGAAACAAGCAAAAACCCAATAAGCTCAGCATTGCACAACAGAGCACATAAACAAAGGGAAGATGGCTCAGCAAGACAACCTCATTTGCAAAAGGATGCACCAAGACCCACCCCTCACTAGCAAGAATACTTGGGCCCAAGATGCCTCCTGTCTTTTATTGCTGACTGCATTTTACCCCATTGCTAGCAGTTCAACTTCATAATTTGAGACAATTGGCTTGTTAGCACAAATGAGAAGGAGACGTTTCAGGAAGTATGAGTCCTTGTTGGTCTAATTACCTTTGATAAGGCAAAAAACTAACAAATGAACCCCCACTCCTCACATGAAGAAGCCAGGGCAGCCTCTTTATTCTCTGCACTGATTCTGTTGACTATATGGTGGGATGTTTGTTTTTCTCATATCTCAGTTTTTGAAATGCCATATTGTGTAGACATAGACTCAAAAAGTACTAGTTGTTCTTTCAAGCATTGCTATCTCATCCAAAGCCACAGTGGGAGCTCCAAATGGAGCTGTGTGAGAATATGGCTTTGTGAGACAGTACTAAAAATTGTGGGGTAGCTCAAAACCTGAATTTATTTGCATACCTTCTGTGCTACCTGGGTAATACCAGTGGCATTTACAATAATATTGTGCAGAAGGTAGTAGACCAAGAGTTAGGAACTATAAATTCTCTAATCACACCAACCCAAGAAATCTGGGGTAAGTCTCTTCCCTAAATAGTTCTCAGTTTTTTCAACAATGGTGAATATTTGACAAATATTTGAAAATCATTTCCTCATTGTAGGGGAAATAATGACGTCATTACTATACTGTCCTCCCTTGTGACTATGCCACACCTCAGAGTGTGACCTTACTTGGAAATATTGTTGGTTCAAATATAATTAGTTATCATACTGTCATATGAAAGTAGGGTAGCCCTCTAATGAAATAGGATTAGTGTCCTTATGAATACAGAACATTTGAATACAGGCGGGCCTGTGGGGAGAATGCCATGAAAAAGTGAAGGCAGAGATCAGGATAACACTTATACAACCCAAAAATGTTAAGGGAGAAGCACAGAATGACTATATCTTTCTCTAGTAGAGCTCAGAACTAACCTTAAGAATACCTCCATCTTAGACATCTAGAAGTGGGAGATGTAATATTAACTTGTTTAAACAACCCAGGTTGTAGTCCTTTGTTGCCTGGCAAACATTAATACATCTACATTGTTTTTGCAGCCACAACTCAGTTGTTTAACATATATTGTTTAATATATACTATTGGCTACACACAATTATTCTTTTTACATTCATATTTTAAAGATTTGTTCTAGCCAGTATACTATAGCATATTTTAGGTTTTAATAATGATCTTTCCATTTATTCATTAGATGAACAGGATTACTTTGTCAGTGCGACATAATTTATGCCTCAAGTCAAATAATGTGATGTTTAGTTGTTGAAGTTCATTATGTTTTTAGAAATACAAAAACTTGTTCTCAGAATACCCAGTATTAAGTTTATGGATTCCCTAAGGGATTAAGGACCATGTGGGTGATAAGCAATATCAGGAACCAGCAAAGTGTTTCTGCAGAGAGCTCTATATCATCCTGTCTAGTGGTATAGATCTGTAATCCCAGCCACTTGGGAGGCTGAGACAGAAGAATTGAGTCCAAGACCTGACTGGGCTGTGGAGTGAGTTCAAGGCTGGCTTGAGTGAGGGAGATCCTATGTCGAATTTAAAAGGGGATGGGGAGTTCTGGGAGTGGTTTTTCAGCGGCAGAGCACATATCCAGCATGCTACAGAGGTCCTGGTTTCTATCTCCATCACACACAATTCTTCTGTCTCAGACCCCCCTCCTTCTGTGTCTCTCTCTCTCTCTCAAACTCTCTCTCTCTCTCTCTCTCTCTCTCTCTCTCTCTCTCTCTCTCTC